TCAGAGCTGAAGGCACTTCTGCCGTTGGTGTGAGGAAAGAGTGTACAGTGAGTCAAAGGTTTGGAAGGAGACAGAAATATGAAGAAGATTGCAAATGCCAGCCAAGTTGAACTATAAAGCAATTTAAAGTTAATGCCTTGGAAGGCAGGGCGAAAGAGTAAATGAACTGGGAACCAATGTAACACACTAGTGTTGAACACACTGGGTCAAATGTTCAAATGATCATCAAGGCGGCACTAAAGGCATGATGGCCCACAATTTCCCACCACCAGCTAGTGGGCCAGGCTCCTGAAATGATCAAAACTCTGGGCCATTTTCATTCGGGCGTTATTGGGGTTTGATGTAGTGAGTGGTTCATTAGGTCTAACACAGGGTCTACTAAGGGCACACTCCATATGTTAACTGGAATTTTTCACCGTGCAGATCCCCTTCCCCATTGTGGGTATAAGAACTGAGGCTGAAATGCAGCCAATGAAGGAAGGCAGCCTTACAGTTGGAGACCATGGAGAGAGGAGCAGGTGATGCCATGCCCCATCCAGCGGGGGAAACACTTCCCATGTCATAGTGATTGGCCCAGTTGCTGGCTGTCAGTGGAGGGGTTGTCCTGTAGCCCCCTGGCAGCAGTGACATTTTTGATGGTAAAATCTCTTCAGGGGAGTACCTTTATCTTGAGTGCACTCTCTTTCTTATTGCCCCGCCCCGCCCCCCCAAAAAAATTAAGAAACTCCTACCTCAGACAGTGGAGCTTCTGACGTCTTACTGCAAGAGGGATTTTCATTGACCAGGGAGCTTCGTAAATTTGTCTGCCATCCTGAATTGGAGGTGATTGCACTCTGCACTCTGGTCAATAATCATCCTGCTTGTTAAGAATTGTTTGGGTGTCAGGTACGGATTGGACATGATGTCAGGACCTGGAACTACACCCGACATTGGGATCCTAGCAGCAGAACAAATATTCTGCCCAATATGTCAAACATTTTCCATGAATTATGGAAGGGAGCATCTAGGAAGCTGGAAGGCAGATGCTGAAAATGAGAAAAGCACCAATAAGACAGCATTATTCAATGCTTGCTTCAAGTGAATTCTTTCCTTTTAGCCTGTAGAGTCCAGAATGCAGGGCGCACTTTCAAAACGCTTTCGGCTTCTTTTGTTTCTCTTTACGTATTTGTGTTTTGATGTTTGGTAATCTGAATAGCAGTCAGTACAGACGTAATGCTGTCTGCCCAACCTATTAAATCAGGAATTTACTGCAGAAAACAGAAACAAATAGTAATTATGAAAGAGGAATGTTAAATTGGGAAGTACTTCACATGAGTAATGTTTTAGAGATACATATTGTTCTGTGGTTTTGTTTTCAGTTTTGCAAAATAAATGTATTCAATTGTAAGTAGTCAATTCTGTAGAAACTGCATCAATAGTACATATCTATATGTATAATACCTATATATATAGCTGAAGAACTATCCTGGAAGGGTAAAATACCATAGAAATCTGAACAACAGTAGTGAGTTCCTGCTGCAGCTACACAAATAGTGTTTTCCACTAACAGGATGCTGCTGTCACACCAACATGACACATTGTCAACTGCACAAATGAGTAATGTATACAAATTTCAATGCTGATGCTTTGCAGCTAGGCTATAGATTCCAACAATTGGTGGATCAAATCAAATAGCACCTCCCTTTGGCTGTTTGCAATTTGCAGAGTACTGTCTATATTTGATTAATTGTATATATCATACCAAGGAACAAATAAGCCAATGAAAGACCAAGTGTTTGTATTGCTGGAGTGTTTTCTGAAAGCTAAAATTTCCAAACTGACAATTGAAAGGACATGACAAAATTGGTTTGGATCTCTGCTGTTTTTTTGAACAATTCAGGGTACATCTAGCTAACTGATTTGAGTGGGTGAGATAGTGAATTGTGGGGTTTGCAAGTCAGAGTCATACTGCGCGGAAACAGACCCTTCGGTCCAACTCATCCACACCGACTAAGTTTCCCAAACTAAACCAGTCCCGTTTGCCTGTGTTTGGCCCATGTCCCTCTTAAACTTTCCTATTCATGTACCTGTCCAAATGTCTTTTAAATGTTATAATTGTACCTGTATTTATCACTTCCTCTGGCCGTTTGTTCCATGTACGAACCACCCTCTGTGTGAAAATGTTGCCCCTGGGGTCCCTTTTAAATCTTTCTCTTCTCACCTTAAAAAATGTGCTCTCTCTCTAGTTTTGAACTCCCCCACCCTGGGGAAAACATCAAAGCTAAGTTCCACAGATCTAAGAGGAGAAAAAAAATTCAAAACAAAAAATTATCCCAAGTGGTCAGACTTAACTTTAATCAGGGGCTTCGATATGGGTTGATTCCTAGCGTACTGGAGTGCCATGAACCACTGAGCAGCATCCTGTCCTGATGGTAAGGACAACCCAGGGAAGAGCACCAGAGGGAAAGGTCCTCTGGTCAGTTACACAGGAATGAGGACATAGGATGTACAACTATAAGGAGAAAACTGCTGGCATCATACAAAATGGTTTATGAGGCATTGGAAGGATTGCTGAGGAGTTTTCGCCACTTTGTCTGGAAGTATACAGGAGTCTGCATCTGGGAGTACCTCAGGAGAGTTCAGTACACTACAGTCCACCCTGGAGATTACAGTCCTCTCCAGAGACTCTTTGAAGATATGTGAGAAATAACTCTAAGCTGTGAGAAATAACCAAGCAATTATTTATTTGTGCATGTTTTAAGGGGGTGTGGGGACTAGATTGCTAAATGCCATGTTTTTTTTCAGTTTGGTTTTGGAGTGAGTATGGATTCACGTCATTTTTATGGTGTTAGTAAACATGGAAATAAAAGGTGCAAACAAAGCACAATGATTCATTTCTGGAGACAAGGAATTGAAAGCCAAGAAATTTTGCTAAACTTCTGTAGGTCATTGATTTTGGAGCACGGTGTTCATTTCCATCTCGAAGTTTGATAGAGGGAGATGCTGAAGAAGGTGCAAAAAAGAAATATGAGGTTATTGTAAAAACAGAGATAACAAATTTGTTGTACAGAACTTGAGTTTTCCTGAAAATGTATGTATTACTGAAGCTTTATGTCTTGTACTGTGCAGGACATTTCACAAGAATACAAACTTAAAGCGAAGCCTAACATTTCTACTATATGAGAGGAGAGTGTCGATTGGTCGGCAAGTGGACTTTGGTGGAAAAATTTCTTTCGTTCATTCAGGGGATGTGGGTGTCGTTGGCTGAGCCAGCATTTATTGCCCTAGAGATGGTGGTGGTGATGGTGAACTGCCTTCTCGAATTGTTGCAGCTCACGAGTTATAGGTACAGCCATGGGGATCTGGTGATGCTGATTGACAGTTAACAGCCAGGCTTTGTTTAAATTTTGACTGGGCAGGTTGATTGTCAAGTCATTGACCTGACCAATGAACCAAGGAATGGCTGTCACCTAGTTTTGTTGAGTTGAAACAGGAAGTGTGTGCACTAATCTTTCTGTCTGGAAAGAGAGCAGGTCCCTCTGTATTGATAATATGTTTAAAATTTAAACCAAGCTTGACTGTTAGTTGTTAATCAGCAATAATAGGCGCATTCTCCATGGCTCTACCTATATCACATGAACTGAAGCTCCCATATTTACAGGGAGGCAGAATGCGATGTGGAAGACTCAACAAACCAGGGATATGAGGACCTTGCTGATATTTAGCTCGGGGCCTCATTAGCATACTGCTTTGTGCTTGGCTGCCAGCCAAATGGACAATCTGACCACTGGGAGTATGGGCAAGGAAACTAATGGCTGGAAGCTATAGCCAGTGACTTGTGGCAATGTGGGTTGGCACTGAGAAAGGATTAACTGTATTGCAATTTGCAATTGGGAGTGCTGTCATAAAGCTCGCAGTTGAAAGGCTTGTTATGGAGGCTGGTAATTGGGCCTGAAGGGAGCGTAGGTCATGCATGAGGGGCTGAATGGGAGCATCCTACTCCTTCTGGCCTTGGGGATTGTTAAGAGGCAATTATCATGGAGCTGGTTTTGGATCGTGTTTGGATCAGTTGCTGGGAATCCGATAGTGCAGGCCATCCCCTCTTGCACTGTTAAATTTAAGTTGTGGTGCAGTTTATGTCAACAAGCATTGAATTTGGTCGCTAACTTTGAAATTAGATCCTGTGTGCATTTTGTTGGAGCCTCATTCAAGACCTGATGTCTGCATTTTAGAAAATTGG